ATATTGATTTCCCTGTAGCGGGGCGAGGACCTCTGGGGGCCTCTTCCTGCCCCTGTCCCTCTCCTCTCTTCCCCCAGCTGGAGTCTTCACCGTCTACCTCACATGCTCCCTGGCGTCTCTCTCTCTCTCCAGTTCAGAGGCTAGTTTAATACCCTGAACTAGATTTACGAGAACCTAACCTAACTGCCTCGCTGACACAGTTGGATTCTTAAAAGCTCGTAGGTTAAAATTTCCCTCGTAACAGGTGATGTGAGAGCGTATTCAACTGACCGACTGACAGGGATGAATTCTTAAAGGTTCCTGGGTTCTATTTTCCCTCCCACAACACGGCGATGTTTTGCAACTGGCTCACTGAAATAGACTGATTCTCAAGACTAAAGCTAAATCTACCCTCGTTAACTGGTGGTGTGAGGGTGTATTCAACTGGGTACCTGAAACTACAACACACACTGAACAACCTCCAGAGTGTAAAGCTCAGGGGATTTATGAAAGCCTAGACTAATTACCCAGAAATCCCCACGACCACCATCTTGAATCCCTCCAACCACGACCACCATCTTCTTGGCTTCACAGCAAACCATGACGAACCACAAACCCGTAATCCGTCGCTATGTATTCGTCTTACAGCGCTATAAATAGATGACTCACTCTGGGTATATGTGCTAATTGCGTGTTTATGTACCCGTGTGTGCGTTGAGCTGTGTGTGTATTATTGTGTACACGGATACATGTACGTATGTTTTTTTATTTGTTTAGTTTTACTTACGTGACTTTGCATGTGTACTTTTGTGTAGTATATTAATTTATGTGAATTGTGTGCATTTACCTGTGTGTACTTGTATTTAATTTTACATGAATGGACGTCTACATGACGTATATTGTATATACGTACATAGTGATGGTGTGTGTGTGTGTGTGTACGTGATGGTATGTGTGCATGATGGTATGTGTACGCGATGGTATGTGTGTGCATATGGTGTGTACATGATGGTATGTGTACTGTTCCACACGATATGAACCTAGCAGTGGGGGGTGCGGTGAGATGGGGGGGGTGGAGGTCTTCAGGCCAGTCAGCCACGTCTGTTAGTTTCACTCCTACATAACACCTTAACTACCGCCACACACACACACACACACACACAGAGGCTCTCTCTCTCTCTCTCTCTCTCTCTCTCTCTCCTTTTGCGCATATATACTCACATTAAATGCCTGTCTTTTGATAACGCGTGTGTGTGTGTGTGTGTGTGGGAGAATGTCAGTTACCTGGAATTACCTGCCACGGGACTGATGGTCCTTGTCGTAAAGCCGGAAATATTACCCCGGGCAGTGTTGGGTGTTTAAGAGGACCGATACAGTCTCTGTCACCTCCCCATTCTCTCCCCCCTCATACTAACCAAGCTCGACCCAAGTGGCTTCCTCAGTAGTTACATTTGGTCGGGTGTTTTCTCAGCCATTTTGACTTCACGGTTTTCAAACTTGGGAGAGAATATCCTGAAGTATTTTGACTTGAACTTTTGGGTAGACATTCTTGAGGCTTTTGACTTCACCCTACTCACCCACCCACCCACGAATCAGCCACCCACGAATCAGCTACCCTCACCCACAGATCAATACCCACCCCACCCACGAATCAGCTACCCTCACCCCACCCACGAATCAGCCACCCACGAATCAGCTACCCTCACCCACCCACGAATCAGCCGCCCACACCCACTCGCGAATCTGCCACCCACTCACCTCGATTCCCGGCGTTCTGTATTATCCAGCTCACAGTACCACCCACTTTCCTCTCACCATCCATTTTCCCTCACCCACCACCTTCGCTACACACTCTCCTTCACCCACCCATAACTCACCCAGCCAGTATCACCCACCCACCCACTACCCGAGCTCCAACAATTGTTCCTTTAGCAATTGAGACAAGAAAAACACAAAGCATGGTGGGGAGAGAGAGGAGAGACAGACCAGGTGCAGCATTAGTAGTGCACCCTTGACCACGACCACTCCGAACCTGACCGCCTCCCTGTCATAATAAACGAATTTTACCCCTGAGAAGCCATTACACATAGAAGAAGAAAGGGAGCCAAGATGGGCAGGAGAGAGAGAGAGAGAGAGAGATCGTGACCCACTCTCAGGAATACCACACAGGGTCCGAATTATCTTTACTTCCTTCCATTAAAATTTTTCTTCTCTCGAATCACCTAAAGAATCTCCACTCCACCTTATTTCACCTGAAGATTAACCACCCTTACCACTATTTGGAAGATGAGGTTAGCGTTAGTGTAGGTTAGTGTTAGGTTAGGCTAGCATTAGGTTTGGTTCGTGTAAGGTTGGGTTAGCTTAGTTAATCTTTAGGTGAAATTTTTGTACAAGTGGAGGATCAATGTTGGGTAATGTTAGTTTCACTCTAGGTGCTGTTAACACTAAAGTCTGTTAAAGGTCATGTGAATTTTAACATCGTCTCAAGGCACTTTCCACACCTAGTTAATTAACCTGTTGA